ACTGGCCAAAAGTGCAATGATGTCAACGAAAATGTCACATGAGTGCAAAAAAGTACCGAGCTTCTTGGGGTAGTTGTGCGGTGCGGACCATCCTCGAACCGAGGAGCTCCGTGGGCACCTGTAAAAAAAGAAAATAAGCTTAATTTATGTCTTTCAATCTCTATCATAGTAATAAGTAATAATAAAACAAACTTACCGATATTCGCCGCGTGCGCTTTGCACTGGATGCAGAATTTGGTGTTTCCAAATTCTGCGAGAATATCGACGCCCCCATCGCCCCTGCCACTAAAAAGAACGAATAAAATAATTAAAACCGATATAACAACAAGACGTTGTAAGACAAAACTTTCTTACCCTATTCTCGTTTGTGGCCATTGTCAGATATCAGACACCAATTTAGCTCGAGTGCTTGGAATGATGATCAAAGGACGTTTTTAAAGCATACCACATAGAGTTCGTAATTTCTCATTCTTAGTCAATAGATATGGCTTTAATGCTTCCAACAAATTTTTAATCTGTTCGGCTGTTTGACTCTCGACTAGCGATTGATCAGAAGCAAGGTATTGCATTATCTAATTGCGATGTATTAATTTACAGTTTTACAATGCAAGTCTTTGCAATTCAGAAATTGATACTCTTATGTAACCTCATATTGTATCGTTTTTAGATTCTCGGCAAACAATACTCCAGGTTCTGCCGCCAACTGTCAGCATGTTTTGCGCCAATTCACGGAGAACTTCGAGAACTTCAAAGTTTGATAGTAGAGCAGATTGAGCCTCTAATACCTGTTAATACACAGATATATTGTTTAACTTTATGCCAAAAGATGTACATAGTAACGCAGACTTGATAGTTTACATGCATGGTGGTTTGCGGAAATGATATACATTCTAAAATTCACCGTAGTAATCATATAAACAGCATAGATTTAGTAATTTTTTATTCTACTGTCAATCTACATTTGACTTGAGTTTCATTTATCGATAGCTGAATTTTCAAGTCATTAATAGTCCCGAACTACTCTATCAGAAATCACTCGCTCTCCCTTCTTTTAATAGCCTTCTTGAAAGATTACAACTATACCAACAGCCCGCTCCTACACTCTAAGTCCTCCACCCTATTAAAATCAATATAAAATTCCAACTAGTTGTAAGAAAGTTAATTTAATAACCAAAGCCAAATAAATCTAATTTAACCCTTATTAGTGCAACTTCTGCAGCCATCTTCAGCTTCTCTTCCCAATCGTGTCGTTGTTAGAAGACCGCTTGCAAGTTGTAGCGAACTACCGTTTGTGCGCAATATGATGATTGACTCGTTGTATCTACGCTTTCGTGAAGTTGTGTCGCGACGCAATGCTCGCATATGGATATGCGTTTTATTTCTTTCATCAGCTAGTTATTGAGATCGAAAACTATATCGTTAGACGACGGTTGTGAGTTATCGCAAAAATGTCGTGTGTTGTAATACGGAGTGACGGCCAAAGTTGACTATTTAACGAAGAAAGAATTGCGAATGATAGTTATTATTTCGTAATGTTACTGTATTACTTTTAATAATTTCATCATATTATGTGATTGATAATTGTAAAATTGAACGCTATATCAAAAGAACATAAACAAGTACATATTTTTCATCAGTTAGTGATCGATACACTGTATCGTTAGAGGACTTATCGCATGTGTCGTAATATTACGTTGTAAGTGCGCTTTGGAGGAGGAGATAAACCGTGTTGCTGTTAAGTGTCAGCCGTCATTATTAGATGATTTATCCGGTCAGTCGTATGGAGTGATAACAGAGTATGAACAATGACAATGGTCGCATGCTGTAGAAACATTTAGAAGGATTTTTATTTTTGGAGGCCAGTATACGCAGTAAAAACTTTTCACTGGTTAATTAAACTGATAATACTAATATTGAAACAATGACAATGCCACATGCTGTAGAAACATTTAGAAGGATTTTTATTTTGGGAACAATAAACACTGTCCGCGTTTGATTTTAATTATCTATGAATAGTGATATTAATAAATTAGTAGTATAAAAAGCAGTGAACCATTTAGAAGAATTGGAGAGGCGTTTATTGATCGTACAATTACGATAAGCCACGCGTATAAAACTGATACGAGATTGATAACAATACAAATGTAAACAATAGAAACATTTAGAAGGATTGTCTATTTTTAAATCATACAAATAACAGGTCCGGAGTATATTAATATCCGGAGTATATACAGTAATAATTACATCATACTAATCAGTAAAAATTTTACATTGATGTGGTGTCATGGTGTTACACTAGACAATATCTCGATATATCAGATTCTCACGCTCATTGTTACGTATAAGGTTGCAACTGACGATATATATAACACGCGTCGGCTCCATCTGTTCTCCTTCACTTACCGCACATACGACCCACCTGTTCTCCTTCACTTATCGCACATATTCCATATTACGCACTCTCTATCTACACACTTTCTATCTACGCACTCCCTACCTCTACCTCTCGTATAAGGTTGCAATATATAACACGCGTCGGCTCCTTTATACCTCATATTGCGCACTTTCTACTCTATCAACGTTTGCCCCATCACCTATGCAAAATGTTACACACACACACACACTCTCTCTCCCCCCAAAAGGTTAATTTCTTATACTGATTTATCGTTAAACCTGTTTGATATGTCTATTGATATCTTTACTTCTTTTAGATGTCAATCGCCAGTGTTCATTTGGGAAACCTCTTCGAAGCGTATATCGCCTTCCTGCTTGAGCAAGCAGGCTTTACAGTAACGAGAATAGGGTAAGAAAGTTTTGTCTTACAACATCTTGTTGTTATATTGGTTTTAATTATTTTATTCGTTCTTTTAGTGGCAGGGGCGATGGGGGCATCGTTCACGCAGAATTTGGGAATACCAAATTTTGCATCCTGTGCAGAGCATACGCGTCGGATATGGGTAAGTTTTAATTGTTTTTATTATTACTTATTACTATGATAGAGATAAACTAAACTTATTTTCTTTTTTTACAGGTGCCCTCGTGGTGCGGGAGCTCCTCGGTTCGATGATGCTGTACTACAATAATGGGGAGATTGGCGTCATTGTTGCTTTGGGGGGATTTACTCAGGGGGCTTGGGATGTAGTTGGAAGAGCCCCCCAAGACACATATCTCGAAACTCCTGGCACAATCGTCGCCAATCTGATGCGAGCTGCAGCGGAGAACGACGCAGTATTGGAAAGAAGGGCGAGGATGGCTCGCACCCAAGAAAGAATTGAAGCGGCGCTTAGGAGGATAGCAGCGGCGGAAGAGGCGGAGCAGGCGTTGCTTATGAGGGAGCGGGCGGCGTTTATGAGAGAGCTGGTGGAATTTCAGAGAATGAGGGAAAGACAGAAGAGGAAGGATGAGGTTAGGCGTTTGGTTATGTATGTTGCTATTGGGCTTTTGTTAGTACTTTAGGGGGTGATAATATATGTTTAATAAATAAAAAGTTTTCAAATCAAGATAAGGTTACCTTCTAGATTGCAAACCTGATGGGTTATACCTGAGAGTTTTCCTAAGCATTGCTTGGTAATATTACAAGCCATTTCTGTCTAAAAGATGATTAAAAAATAAAAGTAAATATATGAATTTGAAGTACAACACTTGTTTGATGTATTAATATAGGAATTGTGAGTATATTAAAGCCTGTTTAAAGATCATAAATTATCATATTCAGAAAGACTAAGCATTGTTGGAGCTTAACTCTGTTGGAGACGCAATGTTGTTACACGAACGCTTTCCCGCATTTACATTGGCAACACGACAGAAGGAATTGACTACGCGTGCTATTCTCGCAGTAAAACATTAAAATTGCTAATCAAATGTTTAAGTTAAATTTTCGCTTATTATTATTTGCTTTAGTATATTAACAAAACCATTTTGACAAATGTACAAAAACTTGCCCTGGATTTTTGAAGTTTTTTTTTTTTTTGACAAACCCTTATTTGCCTTCTCTTTGTAAGAACTCGGTTTTCTTTTTGGTTTTTCCAGGAATCCAATAATATTTGCAGGCCAACTTTCGACAAAATCTATTAAATATTTAGTTAATTCCTTTGATCTTGCTAGCATTTATTATTATTATTAAATTTCTAATTTTTAAAAATTCTGACATCTAATTGAATGGAGCAAAAGTTTCTAATGTTAAACTCTATTATAGAAATGCTGTGAACGCGATAGGCTATCCTGAGGGTTCTACTCAGTATCGCTTCATTAATGGGTTCTGTGTGATTAACGCTTT